TTTTTAGTGGAAAAGCTTTCAGCTTTTCTCCATTCAGGATGATGTTTGCTATGGGTTTTTCAAAGATAACTTTTATTGTGCTGAGAAATGACCCTTCTATGCCAATTTTTCTCAGAGTCTTGATCACATGAAGGGATGTTGTGTCTTATCAAATGCATTTTATGCATCAATTGATATGACAATATGGTTTTTATCCTTCTTCCTGTTAATATATTATATTACATTTATGGTCTTGCATATGTTGAACCAATCTTGCATTCATTCAGGATGATGTTTGCTACGGGTTTTTCAAAGATAACTTTTGTTGTGCTGAGAAATGATCCTTCTATGCCAATTTTTCTCAGAGTCTTGATCACATGAAGGGATGTTGTGTCTTATCAAATGCATTTTATGCATCAATTGATATGACAATATGGTTTTTATCCTTCTTTCTGTTAATATAGTATATTACATTTATGGTCTTGCATATGTTGAACCAATCTTGCATTCCTGGAATAAAACCTACCTGGTCATGATGTATAATCTTTTTTATAAGTTGTTGGATAGATTTGCTAGTATCTTGTTGAGAATCTAAGCATCTATATTCATCAGAGATATTGGTCTATAGTTTTCCTTCCTTGTCCTGTCCTTATCTGTTTTAAGGATAAGGGTGATAGAGGCTTCATAGAATGAATTAGGGAGAGATTCACCCTTTTGGATCTTTAGAAATAACTTGAACAGAGTGGGGGTTAACTCTTTGAAAGTTTTATAGAATTCAGAGGTGAAACCATCAGGGCTGGGGCTTTTCTTTGTTGGAAGGTTATCTATTACTGATTCAATAGCCTGGCTTTTTATGGGCCTATTCAAACTTTCTATATCCTCCTGGCTCAATCTTCGTAGATTATACGTTTCCAGTAATTAGTCCATCTCATCCAGATTGTCTTGTTTCTTGGCATAAAGATGTTCATAATATTCTTTATTTTCTGCTCATATGTTGGTGAGAATGCTTTTTGTCATGTAGAAATAAAAGCAAATATTGTCTGCTGGAAGTTACCATTCAGCATAATAATTTTCCTATTGTAAATTTATTTCCATTTGCCTACAATAGAAAAAGAAATAACTTTTTCCCAAGGAAGTAGATATATCTGAATGCCATATTTTGTTTTTCTCATTGTATACTCTTACCTCTAGCCGTTGCATTGTTTTAAATTTCGTGGAGATTTCTTTCTGCCCAGGTTATTTTTAGCCCCTGTACTCCAGGCACGAGATAACATTTTTAATTCCTACACACTTTTGAATGAATTACTCTTCATTTCTGTGGATTGAGGCATAATTTTTGGCTACATTTTCACAGAGCAGATTCTCTTAATCACTCCTCTCAGGGCCTGCATCACATCCTTATTTCTTAGACTATAGATGATGGGGTTGAGATTGGGGTGAGGATAGTGTAGAAGACAGAACCTTGTCCTCTGTGAGAAATCAGAAGGATCTTGGGCATAGGTAAGTGTAAGCAAAGAGTGCATAGTAGAAAGTCACCACAGTGAGGTGGGCAGTGCAGCTGGGTTAGGTCTTCCTCCTTCCTTCTGCTGGGCTTATGCTGTACACAGCAAGGGGGCCCTGCCGTCAG